GGATTAAAACAATCAGCCTTAGATGTCCTAAAACAATAGACCAGGAATCTAAGATAATCACAAAAAGTGAAGTGCTAAAAATTGTACTTCAAAACCTCAAAAATAGACTAGAATATATACAGATTACCTATAGCATTCTAGAGGATACTTTAGACCCGGTGTGTAGTGAACATCCTTTAGATAAAGATAAAAATATCGATCAAGAACTTATCGAAATTAAACTAAAAGATCCTAAAATAGAAGTTAATGTCCCTAACAAAATTCAATATACTCAACGAGATGTAGAAGAATTCCAAAAGGAATGTTCAGAGTTAGCTGAAAAAGGTATAATACGAGAAAGTAAAAGTCCTCACAGTGCACCAGCCTTTTATGTAGAAAATAATAATGAAATCAAAAGTGGAAAAAGAAGAATGGTAATAAACTATAAAAAACTAAACGAACAAACAATAGGAGATAGCTATAAACTACCTAGGAAAGACTATATATTAGAAAGATTAAAGGATCAAACGTGGTTTAGTAGTTTAGATGCTAAATCTGGATATTGGCAACTTCGTCTACATGAGAATACCAAACCTTTAACAGCCTTTTCATGTCCACCACAAAAACATTACGAATGGAATGTTCTCCCATTTGGAATGAAACAAGCACCAGCTATTTACCAACGATTTATGGATCATGTCTTAGAGGGTTTCCAATCGTTCTGTTTAGCGTACATTGATGATATTATCATTTTCACCAATCAATCAGAAGAAGATCATCGTGAAAAGATCTTGATAGTCTTACAGAGAATAAAAGAAAAAGGTCTAATTATCTCTAAGAAGAAATCAAAACTTCTTCAAAGAGAAATTGAATATCTTGGTATGAAGATTAATAATTTTGGCGAGATTGAGTTGTCACCAAACACTAAAGAAAAAATCGATAAATTCCCAAACCAACTTGAAAATAGAAAACAAATTCAACGTTTTCTTGGATGCTTAAATTATATCAGCGAACAAGGATTTTTAAAAGATTTAGCAAAAGAAAGAAAACATTTACAGAAAAAGATTTCTGACAAAATCCCTTGGTCATGGAATGATCAAGATACAAAAATAGTTTTATTAATGAAGGAAAAATGTCAGCATTTACCAAAATTATATAACCCTTGTGAAAACGATTTTCTAATAATTCAAACGGATGCCTCTAAGGACACTTGGGCAGGGTGTATGTTAGCAATACAAAATGGCAAGGAATTATACAAATGGACAATTTTGGTAATGTCAAAATAGACAATAATGAGGCTACTGTCTCTGGCCAAAACCCTAAAGATTATCAGTCTTCAGACAATATTATTCAACTTTCAAGTTCTCAATCATCAGTTCCTTTCAACAGTGATAAATATTCTAAGAAATTATGTAAATATATTTCTGGAACATTTACCACCACTGAACAGAACTATCCGATCCACGAATTAGAGACACTAGCCTGTCTCAGAACATTGAAAAAAATGGAAGTTTGAATTATTATCTACAAGGTTTGAACTTCAAACCGACTCTAAATATGTAACAGGTTTTTGGAGGTACAAGCTTAAGACAGATTTCAACAAAGGAAGATTAATCAGGTGGCAGCAACAACTCCATTACTACAATCCTTATATGAAGTATATCAAGTCCAGCAACAATCCATTCACAGACACACTGACTCGAGAATGGAAGGATTCATAAAAACCCTCATCAATCAACTAAAGCAGAAGCAGGAAAAGAGTGCAGCACTGGAACAACAACTTCTCCTTTGCAGGGGGGAGGAAGAAGCAATAATTCAATCAATCGACGTCATTCAGCAACAGTTAAAAATCAACTACATCAACGTCAGTACATTAACAACTAGCTCCATTAGTGAAAAGCCATCAACACTTACCACAGAACCTGCTGAAAAAGAAAAGTCGACAGCAACATCCACCACTACCAGCAATAATATACAAAAGACGACACGATGGGCAGACATCGTTGAACAAGAAGAAAAAGAAACAAAAGATTCCCACTATGAAGAAGACGACAGAAAAGGTAGCAAATGGTATGTCATATTTAACGGACCATACCGAGGAGTATATCATAACTGGGCCATCGCTAGCCAGCACATCAACGGCAAACCAGTCCAACATCAATCATTTAAAACAAAAGAAACAGCCGACGAAGCATATAGACAATGATACAAGGTGATGGCAATGAAAGAACCAGTCAAGAATCAAGAGCAACAATCGCAGAAACTCGTCATGAAGATACCCAGTATCAAGAACATCCTAACCACCAAGGAAAAAGAAGAGCAATTAAAACCAATCTTTCAGAAGTTCATATCCAACTGGGATATGATAATCAACTATGAAGAAAAACACACGACCATGGGTTTCTACCCCATCAGTCGAGGAGGACCCAAAGCAGTAATCACAGAAGAAGCATCACCAGAACTCTCTTTTGAGTTCCATCAATATGGATTAATCGACACTATCTACACTACAACCATGAAGGTATTTGAATACTTCCCACAAAGAATGAGGAACGTAATCGGAAGATATCTCGAGCTATTCGCCAAGGAAAGAGAAATATTTCTCAATTATACAAGCAGCTACCCCGTATTCGATCAAGACAAACTATTGATCGGATCAAAGGCAGTTATCCTCATGGGAGTATCAAATCATGATTACCCTACCAGAGATGACCTACAAGACTATGAGAAGAAACCAGACTACCAAGTAAAGGGTCTTCTTGCAGTATGCAGAGCATTAACCAAAATTGAACCGGAAAGTCAGATTAAAGTCAATTACAGCATCCCCGATGCCATCATCACCAGCAAAACAAGAGGAAACATGACCAAAGTAGAATGGGTAATCATAACAGATAAAATTAAGGAATTCACGGAAATTAATGGGAATCTATTAGCTCTTCCCATTCAAATCAAGAAACAGTTATGCAATGAGCTTACTATCTATGAAGACCATCTCTGTGAGTGGTGTGCATCAACTGACGAAGACATCAGTGGACCAGCAGACCAAGACTGACAGAAGCATGTGAAGAAAAAGGAATCAAACAAAAATGGAATAAAACGACAAGAAAAGGTTGGCCGACTCCTTTAAAAAAGTCGTGCATTATTGTATTTCATCAGCTTTCTTATCGCCTCATGCATTTTCTTTTGACGTGTTAGCTTTACGTCCCTGTTGCACAAACGTAAGCAATGACGTTCTTGTATCTCCTCTTAGCTCTATATAAGAGCAAGAGTTTTCAATGAAATAAGGCAGAACGAGTTTGGCCATAAAAATTGCCTGTTTACTCTCTCCTTCTAGCTAGCTAGTTGTAAGGCTTGGATCCACTGATCCTAGAGGCCACAATCATTCGATATAATCAAACGCACGGAAAGAAGCTACAATCATCAAGCGATCATCAAAAAGCTTAGAGTTTCATCAGAAAAACAAGTCAGGTATGTCTGATAATCCTACCTCAAGTTATTTTGACTATTTAAACAAAAACGATAATGAAAACTACTTCTTAGATGATGTTATAGACATTAAGAAAATTAGAGAAAAAACTAATTTTATTATTTCAGAAACTCAGAACTTTATTACTAAGTCTTTTTTATCAAAGCTCTTTGATAAAGAAAACATTATTAAATACGGTAAAATGATAGGTGAAGTAGCAGTCCCTATTGATCAAACTAAGGGTGATTTCCTAATCCAAGTAATAAACAAAGAACAAATCAGAAAAAGATTAGCTAAACTAAGATCAGAAGAACGAAATAAAATAGCTTATATTCATATTAGTACAATTCAAATTATATTAAAATCAACCATGAAAATAGGAATTGATGCACCCATGGAACTAGAAATTCGTGATGATAGGCTCCTAAACAAAGAAGAAAGTATTATTGCTAAAGGAACGGGAAATTTAGGAGTAGGAATAATTAAATTTGACATTAACCTACAATAAGGATTAAGCCTGGCAGATGGTAATCTTGACTCTTCTATCATTATAAAATACGAATTAAAAAGAGAAAATTTTATGAAAGAAAATAGCAAACCATTTTCAGTAACTTATCAAATAAACTATGCATTAACAAATAGTCACCACAGCTTAACCTTCAAAAATAAAGAAGTAATTACTATAGAAGATTTATTTAAACCTTTAATTCAACTAGAAGCACCATTAAAGACTGTTAAAATAGAACCTAGTCGACCATCGATAACCCAAGATCAAAGACGTTTAATTAAAACACAATCAGAGAGAATTAGGCATATCCCAGTAATTGAACAAAATTTAGAACAAGAAGAGATAACTAATAATCAAGTAAATAAATTAATTGAAGAGATAACCAATAATCAAGTAATAAATAAGCTAGAAAATTTGCAACATTCAATAGCAAATATAGAGAATAAAATCTAAATATGCCTACTAACTATCATATAAATAAATTAATTGAAGGATTAGATGCTATAAATCTCACCTCAATAAATGATATCAGCACAGCCACACAAGAATTGACTTACTTTGCCTCAGAAATTGTAGAAGAACAAATGAGTATTGGAACTACAGAAACATTAGAAGAAACTATCTCTAAAACCGACTTAATTACTGATATAATAACTAGCTTAACCAAAATTAAACAAAGATTACAAAATCAGTAAGTTAAGTGGAAAAACATGGTATCAGAGCCAATCAAACCGATCAACTACCCGAATTATTTAGTTCACAAAGACTTGGATATTAGTTCATACACTTTTGGATATTAGTTAGTATATACTAACAAAAGGACCGGTTAGCAGATTAGCCGGGTTGAGCTAAAACAGCCAGTTTCAATCAACATGGTTCACTTCCATACAAGGAGCAATCTTCTGCTTGACAGATGCATCTGGAACAGCACAAGTCAAGACCTCAGTTACCTTTTATAGTAAGTTCCCCGGCAAGCAATCGTGCCATCCTAGAAACCATGAACATTAAGAGAAGAAAACGGCTTTATTCATCACTACAGATGTCTAACTACTCGCGAATAGCAGGGCCAGTGTATTGTCCAGGGCGCATATAGAGATCCTCTGGTGTCTCTATCTCTGAAAGCCATGCATATTCGTCTGTTCCTCCATCTTTAACCTCAGCCCCACTTGCTGCTGCAGGATTTATATATATCAAGTCTATTTCTCTTAGTTCAAACATATACATGTAACTAGACGAAGAAGAAGAAAAGGAGCTACTTACACAACGTGGAGTCTGGGTAGTCATGGTAATATGTACACTTTCTTCCAGCTTGTTCGTTGTAAGTAGGTGTGAGAATATCGAGGACTGCACAAGGGGTTAACGCAGTAAAGCAATGCAGATTCCCCCCAGCATTCGGGTACAAGACTGATGTTCCACAAGGAGCAGTCAGAACTTTGTCAACAGCAAACTTTGCTAGCCTTTCTGTCAAAGTGTGAAAAGTGAAACATCTAGTCAGCGGTGCTCCTATTATTTAACACAAAATACCAGAGCAAGGGCAAGGCTTAGCCCGTTTAGGTCTGCTTTTTCCTCGATTCCAATAGTCTATCAGCAATAATTAGCATTTCACACCATTTAAAAGCAAAATGAGGGAAAGTATCAAATTGATGAGCCCTGTACTAAAGATAATCTTACTCCTTGAGAGTTATGATTTAATGCTTCAGAGGCGAAGAGGCATCAAGAAAGCAGGCCAGGAGCCTGCATTTAAATGCACCACCACAGACCACAAGCAACATTTTTATGGAGGAAATAGTTGTAAAGTCAGCACCTTTATCAGGAGATTTGCTACTACACTAGAATTTTATATTCCTGAATGTGTTATTGACTTTCCCAGCTATTTTGATGTTATATGTACAAACTTGCAGCGCCTCACTACCTTGCTTCATTGCTCCACAGTAGGAGACACAACCTCAAATTGATCTAACAAGAATATGAGACCTTAACCATGAAATTCTTCCTTTTGATCAACAAACTTGGACACTAAACTCAATCAATTCCAACAAAGTTTCACATTCTGTACCCACTTCAGGAGAGGGTCATGCTTTTCTAAAACAATCGGAGCATCATGGGAAAGAAGTAGAACAAAGGGTAAGAAATGTAGAACCTGAAGGAAAACCATCCTTGTTTTTCGAGAGAACAGCTGGCTCAACCCAGTCATAAGCTTTGACATGGAGGGAGCCATAGAGAACTTTGCTGAACACAGTCATGCCAGGGTGATCATGAAGTGGAATAACAGAAGAGGTAGGAAAGCAGAATATACACATCTGCAATCATAGATAAATGTCTCGCATCAAACTTTAAAAGATCATTTATGTCCAATTAGATTGAATGTTACATCAAACAACCACCACAGCCAGTGAGTTGTAATGTTAGCTCAACACGTTCATCATTCACATAGGAGGGTGAAGTATACCGTAAAACTTTCGCATTCATAAACGTCTGTGTATGTTATTGGCTGAGACCACTTAGCAACCCTACTGAGGCGTTGAAGCCCGAATATGCCATGTCCTCGATCATCATCTGAAGTTTCCTCTTTCATCCCCACATCAGCCGGGCTAATCGAGTCTGCAGATTCCATAGTGAATTAGGGTCAGTAATGCAGACAAAAGAGTTGGCAAGATGATTAGATGAGGCATTTGAAGTTCAATTCTCACAAACGGTTCATTCTTCTGGAACGGAGCCCATGAATTGAATCAACAGCAAGAAGCACAAACAACAGGAGTAGAAAGTAAAGACTTTAAGAGCCAATACAAGTGGAAATGACCAAAGGATTCCGACGAGCAAATTTATGCATTGCGGATACAGTTTCACACTTAGCTTCAAAACGAAGCAAAAATTCAAGGACCCATTTCAGGAAATGCCACGAACTTTATCAAGAACACGAAAAATCTGCTACTTTAGGACGAACAACGAGATTGAGCGAAAAGGGAAGGAACCCATAATAAAGAGGTAGAGGTAGAAAGGGAGGAAGGAATACCCAAAAGAGAGCAAATCTTCTGGACGACGGCAGAGGAAAGTGGGGGAAGGCCGGAGGAAGAGAAAGTGGACTTGCATAATTCGTAAAGAGCTTGAACTTTAGAAGACGAAGACTGATGCTCCACCATATTGGCGCTGCTGCTGAAACTACACTGGGTGAAAGGAGACAACGAGCCCTGCGTTTTCCTGGCCCCCATAAACAACATCCTCGCTTTATCGACTGCAATTTGGAACTTTGACAACATTCTCTGCTTTCTTTTTCAGCGGTCTAACTGCGTTGTTATCAGGTAGATAATGAAATTATTAATAATACAAACGAATAAGGTCCTGAAATTGTTAAAAACAATTCAAAAATAAAACCGCCTCCTCAGCGGAGAACCTTTTGGCGGAAGAAGAAGACCAACGGAGAAGCTTGTGGCTGCAGTTTTTTTGACTGGGCTACCTAGCCAGTGACACGGAGATAGAAAATTAGTTAAAGGGTGTATTTATTATATCATAAAAAATCATATATACAATAATAAAGTCAACCTTAAATGAAACAAAAAGTTAACAGTGAATACTCTAAAATCTAAATTCATACAATTACATTAAAATAGTTTCACATACACCGGTTACAACGTCAAACAAATAAGTTCAGTATATACAAGTCAAGACTTCCATTCATCAAATATTACAAATTAGAACTCAGAAGTACCTTGGAATTGATTTTGAGAAACAAACAAGTGAACTTCAATTGGTACCTATTCATTTTCAGCTTTGTTTAAACAAAAGACAAGAAATTTCTCTATTGTAGAGCTACAAAAGAAATGAGCGAGTTTAAACAAAAGACAACAATTTATTACTATATTAAAAAAGAAAGTGCATTGCATAACAAAACTCACTCGGTCGAGATAGTAAGAAATTCTTCCTGCAACTGAATGGTCACTAGTTCGAATTTGTCCCTACTCGGGAATTTTTTCTCCAAACCCAAGGGGGTGCAAGCACCCCCTTCTCTCCAAGTGGCTCCGCCACTGACCTCGCCGTCGATCCATTATTTCTGACTCGGGGGTTTAGTGATGGAGATGGCCTATCCCTGTATCTCATATATGAGATGCCACATGTAAAGTGAAAGCCTTTTTTTCCAGTTGGTTTGCTTCATAAATTTGGAAGACGAAGGTTTTCACTAAAATCTAGATTATTCAAAATCATGGATATGCAATAGATTTGGTCAACCATTGTTTGAGTGTGGGATTTGATGATGGATTTTTCTCAATTATTTTATATTTAAAAAGGAATAATTTACCCACTGCCCTTGTTTTAACACATTAGGTATGAAACCCTTCTCAAGACAATCTGGTTTATCTATTCCTCTCTTCTGATTTATCGTCTTCTCTCAAAGCGGGGAGCTTCTTCGATCAATCGCCCACAACAAGCCTTTCTTTGTTCCCACTTCCCAGTGATGCACCACTCTCTTTCCTTCCTATTTGGGGGAAATAGATAGAGCAAAGGGCAAAGGCCAATCTTGGCATTAGTAATTTATGTGGGGATAGGAAAGTATTTAAACATGATGGACTTCCATCCATCACCAATAGAGATGGCAATGGGTCGGGTTAAGGCAAACATAAATCCATGGGTTTATAATAAAAAAACCCGAGGTAAAATCCACTGGATTTGGTAAACTCAAACTCAACCCAACCCGCGGGGTATCCGCGGGTTCATGGGTACCCATGAGTTCATGTACAAAGATGCAATTACAGTAGTTTTCACTACTTTTGTCTACTACATACACACTAACTCACAAGTCATTCATACTAATTATTCAATATTAAAAATAAACATCCACAAACAATATGACTAAATGAATGTGTGAGGAACTAGTTTATAAATTATAGTTAATTAGTTAAGGGTTCCGTGGTTCATGGGAGGTATGGACTTGGGTGCCGGTATCCACGGGTTGGATATGACTAAACCCAAACCCAGCCGAACCCGCAAAAAGTATAGCGGGTTTAAAAATGAACTCGGCCTGCAATTCATCAAAATGGGTTTTACCCGTGTTAACCGTGTTGGGTCGGGTAGGATACCCGCGAATTTGGGTTCTACTGCCATCCCTAAATTCACCAAAAACGAAGGATTGAAATACCATACCGGAGGTTGTAATGAAAAAGTCAACGGTAGGGTATTTTAAGTTAAAACCGTGGTTGAACCATGGTTCAACAACTAAATACCGCCTACTGGTTTAGCCTCTGATAAGAGGTTTTTCTGGTCGAACTGCCGGTACGGTACGATTTTCAATCCTTGCCAAAAACCCACCTATGGAACTGGAACTTGGAAATCCGTGGAGCCCACGAATTTTTCCCAAAAAGTGTATGGACCCCATGGACTTGATCTCCATAAATACCTTTAGTAAACAATGACTTTTTCCCAAGTCTTTGAAGTGATGGATTTAGAGTCCAAATCCATCACGAACTCCTTAAAGTAAACGACTTACGAACCCTAAATTTTCATTTGTTTCCCCTATCCCGACTTGTGTATCTACATCTACACATAATTCAAATGGGGAAGGTGCTTCCTAGTAATGACAATGGGGCGGGCAGGTCAGGTACCCCAATATCTATACCCCGCCCCTCACCAAGTGCGGATCAGAGCAGGTAGTACTCGCACGCTTCTAGTAATGGCAATGGTGCGGGTGGGCCGGGTAGTTAATATTCATACCAATTCTGTACAAAACACGGTCGGGGAAGGTAGTACCCACACGGATACAGGATGGTGCGGGTCGACCCACTCTTACATGTTATTTGAAAAATATGATCGCAAAATTTGACCTTTTATGATAAACAAAAAGAAACACACTTTATAAATGAAAAATAGTGATAATAGAATGGGTAACTGAGTTGAACTAGTTGAAAGATCAAGTATAACTAGTTGAATGAAAGTCTAAACATTGATAAATATGAATATATATTGTAAGAAATTGAGATAGAATGAGCAAGAATGAGGCAGGTTGGATGTAGATACCCATGCCTCGTTCCAGCCTACTGCGGGTCGGGTATTACCCACCCCATTGCGGGTCAGGTTGGACAAGGATCAAATTTCCTTCCCTAGTGTTTCCTCATTTCAAAATCCCTTCATCTAGTACGAAACTTGGAAGGGTAGATTCGTCTTCACAATCATTTATTATTTTCTTATTAACAAGAAAAATTACATTAGTAATGGGATTTGAACCATGGTCTCTTCAAAAAAAGATAATACACATAACCAATTACGGTAAATAATTTTGTTAGATATTTTTAAATTAAAAACATACAAGAAGGTAAAATCTAAAAAATCACATGACTTTTCCACTATGGTTAGGTCTACTAACTCTTCCGTAAATATTTTTTTGGTATTTGATACTTCTATTTTCATTTTTTCTGTTTATCTTATAATTGAGGATGATTTTAAAATGAACCCAAATGTCATTAATTCAAATATTGCATATCGAATTGTAGCATTGAATGTGAAGAAACAATGTAGAATTCTTAACATAAACTTCATTTTTATAACTACCATAAAGCAACAATACAACAGAAATTTTGAGTGAATATGAGGCACATGTGTCATTAGGAGAGGTTAAATATGGAATGGTTGAGTGATGTTGGTTTGCTGAACGTGGATGGAAAAGACTCTATTAATGTAAGCGAGCTCAAATAGTACCCCCGCCCACAAACGCTCAATCATCATCGTCTCTCCAAACAACCTTCCCAACGGACTAAACCACAAACTAACCTCATCAACCTCTATTGTTACGGTAGATTAATTATTGGAGGGGTAAATTAGGAAAGGTAAAGTATTCTTGGTTTGACGAATGCGGATGAAAAATGTGCTACTAAGGTAAACATACCCAAATAGTGCCCCGACCTACTAAACGCTCAACCATCGTGGTCTCTCCAAACCTTTTTATCAGACTCGACATCTGGAAAACCTCCTCCTCACAATCTTAATCTTCTCCTGCCGAAGAAAGCTGTACAAAACAGCCTCAATCCAATGTATCACTACTACGATCAACTCCCCACAAGGTTAACTTGCATCGGTAGACATGCATCAATAGTACAGGTTGTGACGAACCCATTTCCTTGCCGCAAATTCATGAAATGAAGGTTTACATGCTAGTCAATTTCATTCATTTTATTTCCTTTATGGGATATTCCCTGTTATGCAAAGCAAACTAATAAAACATGTGTAGTTTTTTCTTAATATGTTCTTAATTGAACCGCAAACACGATTATGCCTGGGTTAGTTGTTATGATATGTTGTCTGCGGTAATCTTCACCTTCGAGTTAGGGCTGATACTGCGGTTACAGTTACCTGCACCATTTTGTGCAGTTACCCATACCCACTTAAAGGTTGGATATACTAACCACATCCACACCGTGTGCGGCTAGTGGTTACCCATTAACTATATGATGCGGGTAGCAGTTACCCATGGTTATCCAGTAAATGTATGTTAGAAGGATAGAAAACTATGTTAGAACAATTAGATTAGAATCATAATAAGTCATTACATTGTAGAATGAGTCGCTTGATGCATGTAATGTCTCTATCTACACCTAATATAATAGTGAAATGTAAAATTTACTTCCCCATTTCAAAATACTTGCATGCAGAGCAATTTTTGGAGGGGTAAAAAAAAAAGAGAGAGTGTTGTTCATTTTCCGCCATGGATGCAAAAAGTTCTTGACGGGCCCAAATCGTACTCCGGTCCGCTAATTGTAAAACTTGCGTTGTCTCTCCAAATCTTCTCGCCGGACCTTACAACTGTCTAACTGCCTCCCAACCATCCTAATCTCCTCTTGTCGAAGAAGGGTGTAAAACTTACCATCAATCCACCACTGTCACCGTTCGCCGGCGAACATGCACCACCTAGACAGCTGACAAACCTCCGCCGCAACATCCCAAGCTCCTTCTGCCGATGAGAACTGGACAACTCACCCTCAATCCAGCGGTATTAGCGCTTGAATCGAGTCCCGACCAGATTCACTAGAGCCGTCGGACATTCACCAATCGCTCATGCTGTGACAAATCCATCTCCCTACCTCTGATTTATGAAATTGCATTGGGTATAGGTAATGTGTTCTTTATAGGCAACTGAATTCTTCGATGCATTGGTCTTCCTATCCACATTTCATTTGTAGTATAGAGATGCCAGCCACAAAGTAGTCCATCAATTACGACGGTGAGGAAACCAATGTCGTGTAAGGTCTAGGTAAGTGTGTCGGTAACAATTTAT